CTGAAAAGATGCTTTATAGGATTCCGTAAAATTTTAATATAATTTATTTATTAGGATGCTCTGTTTCGTGTGATGTAAGGAAGGTTGTAAAATTCTGACTTTAAAGATATGTGTTGCTTGCCGATTACTTCATTTAGTGGGATTATTGGAATATGATTAGTACAATACAATATTCGTCAAGAGATTTGCTAATGAAAATTTGATTTTTGATTATGAAACTAATGCAGGGAACAAGGCTTGGTAGTTCAGATCCAAAAGGATGTTTCAGTGAGTACTTCTCATTTTTAGTTTCTGCTTTTGGCAATGCCAAAGAGTAATAAGAGTACTTTGATTCTTTGTTATGCTCTGAATTTGGCTCATGTTGTTGCATTGCTTGAACATACAATAGTAGTTATTGACTTATTTCCAATGCAGATATCGGACTGCCATCAGGGAAGTCGCTGTTCCAGATTCAAGCAGAGAGAATCTTGTGTGTTCAAAGACTTGCTGCTCAAGTAGTGAGTGAAGGTGAGACTCTTATTTTATGGCTTCTTTTACATTCTAACGTGTATGTACCGTTATGCCATATTCCGATACTTTTTTGTTTTTTACATGATATTTTTACCTTTAGGTCCGACTCGCCCAGTAACAATACACTGGTATATTATGACTAGTCCATTTACTGATGAGGCGACACGAAAATATTTCTCGAGTCACAAGTATTTTGGCCTTGAACCAGATCAAGTAAGATGGCTTCTTAGACTTGTACGATTTGTTCCTTTCATGCTGCTTCTTTTATGTCTGAGATCATTCTACTACAGATCAGTTTTTTCCAACAAGGTACTTTGCCTTGCATTTCAAAGGATGGAAAGTTTATCATGGAGACACCTTTCAGTGTATGTACAATTCAATCTTTACGGGTGTCTTTACTATCTTTACTTATTTTAATTTGTAAAGACACCGGATTTATGCGTTTAGTTACCTATGAATAGCTTGCTAAAGCTCCAGATGGGAATGGGGGAGTCTATGCAGGTATGATTACTAATTGATTCTGCTCGTTTACTATCATACATTTGTTCTTGTTGCTGATTCTGTGATCCGAGATTATACAGCTTTAAAGTCTTCGAGGTTATTAGATGATATGGCTTCTAGGGGGATTAAATACGTGGATTGCTACGGCGTTGACAATGTCCTGGTTAGTTTTTTTGTACAATCTTGAGTCCTTTTCTTAACTCTCTGTCTCGGTTATTAGAAAAGTAAAGTAGAATCTTGGAAAATGCAGGTTCGAGTAGCTGATCCTACTTTTCTAGGATACTTTATTGACAAAGGGGCTGCTTCGGCTGCAAAAGTTGTGCGGAAGGTATCTAAGATTATACATTCTCTCTGGTTCAGGAAGATTTTAAGATCGAAACATTCATCTTCTTGATGTGTAGATGATTCAAATGTTTTTTCGTATGATACAATCAGGCGTATCCCCAAGAACAGGTCGGAGTATTTGTTAGAAGAGGAAAAGGCGGACCATTGACTGTAGTTGAATACAGTGAGCTAGATCAGTCAATGGCTTCTGCAATTAACCAACGAACAGGACGTCTTCAATATTGTTGGAGTAACGTAAAAACCCTTTTCTCCCTCTCTTCTTCTTACGACTTTTCGCGACTCATCCTGAACCGCAAAAAGCTTATGAAAACCGTTTTATGTGCATGTCATGTCATCAGGTGTGCTTACACATGTTCACTTTAGATTTCCTTAATCAAGTAGCAACCGGCCTAGAAAAAGACAGCGTGTAAGCTCTTCAATACAATCGAAATCCCGCAGTCACAATGTCTTATTATGCGCGTCTTAAATGTGTTGTTTTCGGCAGCTACCATTTGGCGGAGAAGAAAATACCATCTATGAATGGATACACAATGGGATTGAAACTAGAACAATTCATTTTCGATTCTTTTCCGTATGCTCCTTCAACGGCACTCTTTGAGGTATAATCATTCCGTACACAAAACACTAAACTTAGTACCACGCTTTTTTATGTTTACTTTCCAGTATTACCATCAAAGATCTTAAATTTGTTGAGCAATGTGTAGGTATTAAGAGAAGAAGAGTTTGGACCGGTGAAGAATGCAAATGGTTCGAATTTCGATACACCGGAAAGTGCGAGGCTTTCGGTTCTAAGGCTACACACACGTTGGGTCATAGCAGCTGGTGGATTTCTAACACATTCTGTGCCTTTATACGCAACTGGTAACACTCCAAAACAATCTTCTCATTTTACGTTTTTATTTTTTTATTACTTTTGAACTTTATGAATAATAATATTGTTCTTATAGGTGTTGAGGTTTCACCGTTGTGCTCGTACGCTGGAGAAAATCTTGAAGCTATTTGTCGTGGAAGAACGTTTCATGCACCTTGTGAGATCTCCCTCTAATCATTTTTATATTTTTTTTCAATCTGCTTTGTTTTGTTTTTAATGCTTTAAATTCTTGTTATTTCCCCGGCTTGGTTTATATAAACTTAAATCTTCCATGAGAAAGAGAGATCAGTGAAGAGGCCTTGGTATTTTTGTATCCATATTGTAACATATCTAATAAATTTTTCTGTTGGTTGTTGAAACTTTTGGGTATAGACTATAGTGTTGGTTCCATGTCTCATTTAAGTGTTTATAACCAAGCATCTCCGGACCGATTTCATGTTGAGATCAGAAGCCAAAACACTCCATTTTCTGCATTAGACGTTTTTGTAGTAGACCGCTCTGGTGGCTTTTGTAAGTGGAACAATTCATAAGCGCAAAACACAGCATAAGGTTCTTCAAAGTAACTCTTGCTTGACTCGGAAAGCACGATTGTTCTAGCAGCCTCCTCAATCCGACCAATAAAGGTTGTGTTGTGTTGCACACCGAAAGAATGGTAACTCTGCTAAGGATTGGTATAGAGCTCACCCTTTGATTCATGGGGGTCATTGTGATGATGACTCATCTTGTTGAAAGCATTTCGTTTGAAAAAAACAATTCTGGTGGTCTTGGAGAATGAAGCATAATCAAAACGTTTCCAAGATGATGCATAGTGAGCTTTGATTAACATAGGCCTCCATTTGCCTTTGTCTCAAGAATAGACTTCCAATACTCTTTGAAGATGTATTTATTTTTAAAAACTATTTAGAGTGTTTTTCTATTCTCTCTGGCTGTTTTTTAGTGTTTAATTGAATTTTACTGTCTTGTTCTTGCAATTTGATGATTCTCAGTGGGTGAAATACCAATTTTTTGAAATATGTGAGGG